CAACAGCATCAACTGACTTACCTCCCCTGCCTAAAACTCTACGCCTGCGTTACGCAGGTGGTGACATCACAAAATACGGCCTTTGCTACGAAGACAGCGGTGATCAAACACCTCAAGCCTTCTCATGTCTTCCACCCTCAATGACCATATTTCACAGCCATACAATAGAATAGAGCAGACTGCAGCGCAGCATAGTCGACCCCTAATAGGCAATCGGATATAACGACGGCGCCACAGGTGGCAGATGTTGGCAAAAGCCAGCCGATCCTTTTGTACTGGTGTGAAAATTTCATCGATCACGGAGTCACTAGGGCTGATGCCATTTCCAGGTAAGTAAAGTGTTTAACGTACTGAAGCACTTCATTCTCTACTGTTAGCCGAGGGACCGTTGAAGACTAGTCATGGAACAATAACTTGCATTTGGGTGGCGATAAACGCATCCCGAGCATTCTCAAATTGCTATTCAAGGTGTCCAGAAGACTCTGCATCTTCACCTGGTAGAACTACGTCATCTCCATATTCTAGGTCAACCAAAAATTCTCTTGTGACTAAGTCAATCCCTGTGTAGTCAGATGTCAAGAGGGAGACTTACGTAAGAATGTCTATGACAAAATTGAATAAGAACGGAAAGGGTGGGCATCTTTGACGAACATCACTCGACATTTCACCGTATGCTGTAGCACGCCCACAGGTGTTCGAGTAAAGAGCCCTCAATAAGGCGATGTACTTATTCGGTACCCTTTTCACTGAGAGACAATATCATAAGACTTCTCAGTCGATGGGATCGGATCCCACCTTCAGGTTGAGAAATACAGCTATTGTCGAGCATCGGTAAGGGTGCCTGTGTTGTAGAACCCGGCGCAGTGTGAATATTCGGTCGAAACACCCATACCCAAGTCTAAAGTTTGCCTAGTTTTGTCGGGCTTGTTATTTCCGAGCTCCACTCAGACGTCTATTAATTACGGAACCTAGAATCTTAGACACTACGTTCGCCAAGCTGATTCTTCTATGGTTATCAAAAGAGGGCTTCTCTCCTTTCTTGAAAACTGGGATAATCAGTGATTGAGACCGGTCAGAGGGGACCATATTTGACTTCCGTACACTAGTTGACACTTCAATTAACTTGACTAAAGCACTCAATCACCGTCCATATATCTCAGAAACTAGTCCGTCTAGTCCTGCTGCCTTCCTCGTTTCAAGTTACCTACAGCTTTCTCGACTTCTGCAAGTGTTGGGGGTCTGTCTCAAAGTTCCATTCAGGATCCAACTGGGTAGTGAGCAATGCAGTAGTAGTTGGAGGTCAGTTTAACTGTTTCTTGAAGTGTTCTACGCATCGTTCCAGTCGTCTTCCCTGTGAGTGAATCGCAGTTCCATCCTTCTCCGTTATAGTCTCACTAACCGTTGACATTTTCACTTGAGTTTCTTTAATCAGTCTAAATAACTGTCTCCTGTTACCTACCTCTTTAGCCCGTCACTGGTTGAGGTCATTGCGTAGACTTTTTTCAGTTTAGATTTGGGTTGCTTTCACTCCTCGTTGTACTCAAAGCCTGCAGAGATGCGTCTGCGTGCATCCAATAGTTCAGAAGAAGCTGCTGATATCCATTGACTCTTTTTAACCACTCTTTGAGAGTCGGCTACGGTCTTCAACGCCGTTTTTACAGTAGAATGTAGATGGCACCAAGCTTCTTCTAGATGAGTGATATTGTTCTGTTCCGATGACTGCCTAACCAGTTCCTCACAAAAGTGACCTTAATGCTCTCATTGTCGAGCTCCTCTCATAATGGTCTAGTTGGTAAAGTTTTTATGTCCGTTGAAACACAGTTATGTACACGCTCGAAACAACGCGTTGTCGTGGTCCAGAAGGAGCAGCAACCTTCCATCGACCCTCTCCAACGATGGCTGAGAGCAGTGTGGTCTATCTGTCCACCGCTAAATTGATCTTAGTGGACGCCACGACGAACAGTGTCTTTCTTTATGTCTGAAAATTGTGCTAGCTAGAGATAAATGGTTATCTTAGCACAGTTGCAGTAGGTGATCACCCTTATCTGTTTGTTCAGCCTGGATTCTGAAAGTGTGACACAAGTACTTTTCTGTTTGACCCAGCCTACTCACTTGCTCATTGAAATCACCAACCACCGCCACATATGAAGATTTAGCTTTCAGAAGGAGGCTAGACAGTTTTCGGTAGAACTCATCCTTCACTTCAGCTGAACCGCAGTCAGTAGGTGCTTAAGTATAGGTTACAAAGAAACGGCAAGTTTCACGATTCATTTTAGTTCTCACTGTGCCATTCAGTCGGACAGCACATAAGTGACTGTCATCTGAGACCCAGTCTAGTAGTGAGCTTTCTACTCTGGCACTTAATGCTATGCCTACACCTGCAAAACCACGAGAACTAGCCATCGAATCTCCAGAAACTCCGAAGGGTGAGTTTTGTGGACTCACCATATTGACCGGGAGAGGTTAGGTGAATAACCGCACTTAAGTCCTTTATGCATGTCTTACAAACACAGCAAACATCCATGACCCGAGTTCATAGAATTCTGACCGATAAAGCTTGTTGGCCAAGTGACGGAGGGTGCAAACATTACGGGCTCCAACGTGTAATTTTGAGCATGGTTTAAGGAGACAGTTGATGCTTTTCTGTGGCCCCGGGTCGTTGTCGAAGGCTGCAGAGCAGAGCTAGAAGAAATTAAAGAGGAAGATAGGAAGGTAAGGATGATGGAGATGAGAGCGCCGATAGCGTTATGATGGCAGTTGACACTTCACCGCTGCCCACACCGCAGAAAGCAAGGTTTTCTTGAGATACTTGGAAAGAAAGGGTTAGTACATGACCGCTCTAAGCCCAGGGGACATTTGCTTGAGGCCTGTCACGTATGGCCTTTTTGATGCGACAATTGGCGTGTATTATGGAAGATATAGACAGACACGTTCTGTGGTTTGGGATCACAACTAATGACCGATCTAAGCCACCGTAATGCATCATCTCTTTGTTTCAGAACATGTTAAGGGTAACTGCTTTTTGTCTAACTGCTATCCAACAGATGGGATATGTGTAGCAACTTGAACTGCTGCATTGTAATGTCACATCCTAAGTTGATTACTGAATCTTTGTTCTTCGATTCAACACCCAACATATATGATAGGAATGATGCAACACCTATGTCAGAGGTAGAGAAAATTTTTCTTAGAGTAAAAACAGAGTATGAGGTGACAGGATTGTAAAAATTAGATGTTGAAAGCGGTGTGATTACATTAATATGGTTATGAGCAGTAATTTATGCTCGTAACGTCATCAAATAAGTAACACTGTATGCTTTATGCCAAATAGACAAATCTAATGTGGAACCATGTAGATATTGTCCATCCGTGAGAAAATTATGGAATACAGTAAAGGAGGTACTAGGTAAGGCATGCGAATCTGAGGTATTCCCATCAGATTGGATCGTTAGTAATTTCAGGGTGTAAAAACGAGAAGCAGTCTTCTTGTAACAACCATAGGGGAATCGGTTTGACTAGTATCGTATCTTAGATCCTAGGGTCTATAGTTATACGACACGTAATTAGAGCTTGGAAAAACTAGGTAGTTTTCATACCTAAATGTATCGATCAGATCTTCACTTTTGAACAGGCTTCGGGACACATACCTACCTACCGACAGTCAAAATTCGCAATATTCCTTTACGTGAAAGCAAAATTTGACTCCCTACTGAGTAGTGTTGTGGCAATGTCGGTGAAGGGTGTACTGAGCAAGTATGTAGTGCTAACCAATACCGTCCACTAAAACTCATCCAGTCACGTGGAGAGACAGATATCGTCCAGACTGACAGCGATCAGCAGTGCCTGCCAGGGATGCCGGGCTTTATAATTTCTATTTTACTTTGGTATAGATATTCCAATGTATATGAACCTAGGTATTCCCAACGTTTCCAATATCTACTTGTCCCTAGGAGGACACCTGGTTAATTTCAGATGCACAGGTGCCATAGTCCTCTTAGGCGAAGACGCTGACATAATACAGCCTTCTGAACGCACTGAGCAGAAATCTGAGTATGTTTGGCACACGTTTTGCACCTTCCAGATGTAAGAGGATAGTCAGGCCTGTCTGCAACTACTCCCAGTTTATGGATGGAGAGTGAAGCGGTGTACTATACCAACCACTTACTCGGAGAGTTGCATTAGCTGGAACGGGCTGGTTGCTGACAAGATCTCAGACTGAACACAAACGGCACGTTTGGCATTTGCTAACTCGCGTCATCTCTGGCACCACCTAGCGAGATATCTGACGAGCATCAAGAAAGATTATTCGCGAACGGGTGACTTATTGTTAGGTTTAGTACTTATTATATTGTCGTTTGCTTCATTGAATTCCTATTCGCCTGGATGGGTCTGAGAGACAATAGCCGGCATGGCTCATAATCGAAACTATTGGCTACCATCCTGCAGTTTTCTTGTTACTGTAAAATAAAACAAAAACATTGAATGAACCTTTGGGGCTCCTTCCTTTTATAACCCATGTATTTTCGTTTCCGCACTTTTTCCATTTTTATATATTTTTAGTTGTTGCTTGATTATTTTTTATTGGGCATCTTTTGGTGTCCGTATTGCACGAAGTTTCTGTTAAAAACAATAAAGAAATAGAAATTCGGAACACTAATCTTTTTTATTTATACCCTCATCTTTTATATACTTCGGTCTAATTTGTCATTCTTTTCCTCTCTGCTTGTTTGCATGCTGCTGTGAAGTATAATGGGACCTTGTGCTCTTATGTGTATGATTCGTTGTTGATTTGTCGCCCTGATAAGTTTGTATTCATGTTTTCATTCTACAATGCACTTCAATTAGACTTGGTACACTTGGATCAGATAAAATTTGATATGATTTATTTCCTCATAATGCTCATTACTACTTAGTGTGTTATTTAATGCGTATTCACTTGTTAAATTTAATGTTCTAATTTTATTTCTTTGTTTAGCATTCTCCTTGAAAGAACATGAAAAATGTTGAGTCTTCGGCTTTTGCGTGAAATGTTCTATTTTACGAAACTTACTGATACAGTGTCCTACAATTCTTTGTTCTATACTTTGTACAAACAGTGCAGATTTTCCAGTGATTGTGGCGATTCACAAACCATCAAAGCGACTAAACGACAATGGGCTTTGTATGAAAGGTAATGTTAATTGACTACCCAGGAAATTTCTTAGGACAACGAATATTGATCCAAGCAAGACATCCATCATCTTATTCCCAGGCCAAGGTTCTCAGTTTGTTGGAATGGGCAGAGAACTTGTAAAAATACCCAAAATAAAACAGATGTTTCAATGTGCTAATGAAATCTTAAGAACAGATATTCTTCGTACTTGTCTGGATGGTCCAGCTTCAAAGTTGTCAAAAACTATTCACTGCCAACCAGCAACCTTCATAATTTCCTTGGCAGCTATCGCAAAGCTGCGGGAAGAAAACCCTGAGGTTTCTTTCCAATAGAACTCATATTATATGATTAAAGTTAATTAGGAATTGTGTAGCAACAGCTGGATTTAGTGTTGGTGAGATCACTGCATTGGTGTTTTCAGGTGCTTTAACATACGAAGAAGGTAGGGTTAATCCCCACTCTCATTTTATTCATCCCTGAAATTAGGTCTACATATCATTCGTGTCCGAGCAGAGGCTATGCAGAAAGCATGTGATGAAAAATCTGGAGCAATGCTTACAGTTTTCACCAGTCCTGGCTCTCCATTAAAACTGGCAATAGCAGCAGCTATTAGTCATTGTGAGACTTGTCATGAAATTCAGAATCCTTGTTGCAGAGTTGCTAACTATCTATATCCAGACTGCAAAGTTATCGCCGGTAACACAGAGGTACAATTCTTTTAATTTTACAAATATTTTGTAAAAATTTAGATAATATTCACCTACAATAGTCGTCTACTGCATCCATGGTGATTTATAGCTAACAGTAACTACAGTTTGTCCTTGATAACTGATCCAACTGTGAACAAAACAGAGATGACTAAGCTTTCTGCGGTAGTAATATTTCATGTAGGTATTATGTATTGTCAGGGCTTTGGAATATCAACTGAACAAGCCTAAGTATGGTGAAAACTAGCAGGTCAGCACCAGAGGAAAGGTTGTAAAGAAAACCAGGACGGATTTCGACGGCAGTTGTAGATAGAGTGTACCTGACAAAGATAGCAAAAAATGTCAAGAAACCTATAAACATTGTTATGGAATCTGGACCCAGCCCACTGTGCTGAATAAGGCCATTTCTAATTGAATTTAAATGGTTTGATCTAATGATTAGAGCTAATAATCTCTGTAGAATATAGGATACTGGTGAGTCATAAAGGTTACTCGGTTGGAATGACGAATAACTTCAAAAACATCCATAACCTGCAGCCTATGTAAATATTTGATGGCGATATTATTGATCGTTCAAATTATAGGCTAAATAATGTTGAGTGATTTAAAAAACCATGGATGGCGTACAGAAGAAAGTGAGTAAAAAACGACCAATCCCGGTGCAATAGATGGCTAGCAAATCGCTGATAAGACTAGGACATTGACTGAAGGAAATTAAGCTAGGGATACAGTTATACCTCACCCACCAGTTGCAAGATAAAATATATTAATAGACAAGAGAAGTGATGGAATCCTGAAGGTTCCCGATCGCAAATGACATACTTGTAATTTCTTAACAGTATGATCTCAAAAAACTTGTCCTAACCATAGTTATGATGTAAATACGTAGACGATTCATTTGTTGCGTCAAATTTAGAGCTTACAAATAGATGTGTTGCATAAACATACTCAGTTGCAAATACAATTCGAGTTCGTTACCTACCAGTTGAAATTCAGCTACCTACGACGATAAGCCAAAGACCCAACTACTGAAGCATGAGTGCATTATTGTACCTAATTCACTAAGGTCTACTTGACAACGAAAGCTATAAGAAAACAAGTGAGTCACTTTAATTACAGCCCTAAAAATGGAGAACTATATTTAACTCTTTCAACTAGAGGCTTTTTGGCAGATCTATCACTTCTGAAAGCTGTTTACTCGATCTCTTGCAGTTTTGGGAAGGCATTTGGCAAACACCATAATGTTTGCCAGTCTTATCAGGTTTGTTTCCTTTTAATTATGTCTCATATGTAACTATTTCCACCTCTTAAGTCCACCTAGTCAATGCTCTCTTAATCGACTTAGAGTACATTAGTGATGTGATCTTGGTAGACCTTCAGCGAAAGTATGTACAGTACCTCAGCTCCATACGTCCCACTTTTAAAATCATGAAAAAAGCCACCGTGTTTTAATCTCACCAGAGTAAAACACGGTGGTTGACAGAGGTACAAAATCTCACCAGAGTTTTACTTTTGTCAACCAACCCAGTATCTCAAAATAATTTTCAATATTATTAGTTTAATCACAGTTCATCAAACCTTCAGGTACAGGGCGTTCTGTCGACTAATTGCAGTCAGTATAATAATCTCTCACTTAACTTATTGGTCACAATTTAGACTTGGTAAGCTCTTAATTTCTAATTGAATCATGTACAATGTAATTTTAGTTGTTAGAGGTCATCATGAATTTACTTCTTAGTATTATTTCGTTTATTTCAGGCAATCGACTTTATTGAAAATCATGCTTCTCAGTTTGGAATACGTCGAACTAAGCGTCTGACAGTCAGTGGAGCTTTCCATACACCTTTAATGTTCTCTGCCTATAAAACTGTAGCCAATGCACTTGGTAGGATGGAGGATTTCCAAAAACCTTCAATACCTGTTGTTAGTGCTGTAGACGTTCTGCCATATACGAATACATGGAATATTAAACGAAAACTTGCTATTCAGGTTAGTTCTGTGTATAAATGTACTTGACCGTTAGCTACACTAAGAATGCAAACCAATGGGGTACATTCTGTATGCACTAGGATATGAGCCACACGTTTTGTGAGGGCTTATGCTACTACTCATTCAGGCTAAAGTAGGTGAAATGGGTTCGGACTGGAGGCTCATTGCTAGAAAGTCAAGTGCTCAAGCAAACGAACCACATCTCCACTAGCAACTGCTAGTTGGTCGTTATTAACTTTGACTGGTCGGAATGAAAAAAGTGTGCTCCATACAAACAGTTCACTATCGACCCACCCACCTCGATGTACCACTTCATATGTATATATATTGCATACCGAGCCCCACGCCTACCTCGACATAATAATATCTGGAGCAAGACTAAATTAAAGAAGAGTGGCCAGAACAGGACATAGCACCAATACATTAAATCTCTGGCTGTTAAGCTGAGCCATTTTTAAGTTAGCCGGAGTCTTTGAAATATTACTCAGCCTTTGAAAATTCTTGGCGACATGGCTAACTCACATAATATACACTTTTTACCACTTTTGAAAATTCGAACTATTTGGTAATCTTCATCTATTTATTCCTCTTATGATGCACTTTATTTACTTCTATGGCATTCCTTTTCGTTCCACCTCTTTGTATAGCAAAATGAAATTTAGCAACTTTAACTGATTCATTTCTATGCGAGATTTCACATTGTGATTTATCTGTCTGCAATCTGAGATAAAATAACAATTAAACGATGGTTAATTCTGTCATCCTTAGTTTTAATTATTATTTAAACAGCGTATGAGAAGACGAAGATTATCTGAAACATGTGATGTATTAGTGCTATACATTTCGAACACGCTGATCACACATGAACTTGTCAAACTATTTATATGAAAATTTACAAAAAGGGTCAATGAAGTCAGTAGGAAACATAGGAATGGTAAGGTCAGAAAAAACAAAATCTCAATCACGTTACTCTTGTTATGAAAATTAAAATCAGCACTACCAAAGTAGGTTCGACATGAGTACAAATTGTTCTTGTATACATAAAGGGGGTTTAAATTTACGGATGGCAGGAGCTTTAATAAATTTAAGCACTTGGCCCTGCCAGCTTTCATGCAGTACTTTAGAAGCTGTTTTCATGTCTACCCGAACGTTTGTCACCTGCAATTATCGAATCTGTTGAGATAATTTGTTTTTGAAGGTATGTGTCCAAACATCCTTAACTGCATATCACGATTACTCCTCCTTATGTGTATGTGTCGACACATACATGTAAATTTAATTATTTTTGTGATACTAAATGTGAGTGGCATTTTAAAATCCTTTTCAATGTTAATAATACAAAAAGAGAGCTATAGATAGAGTGGATGTTCAGTGTCAGGTAAAACAACTGTAGCTAGTTGCCTGCTAGAATTTAAATGTCTGTCAACTATATTGTTCATCAGTTGAGCCAGAGGCACAGCACTCACCTTTCACAATGTGGACCAGGAAAGATCAACGGTGAACAATAGAGAAGGTAAAATGCAAAAATTAATAAATTGTAGAAGTAGAGGCTGAATTATACCAGTCAGTTTCTTTCTGTAGTACGTTAAATGAAGGATTTTCTTGGAAGTCAACAAGATATGAGACGGCCAAAAAGGATCAAAAGTAAAACTCAATCCACGACAGTTAACACTTTCTGTGGAAATACCATCAATACAACAGGAGTCATGGAACTAAAGCAGCTCACACAAGTTTTGTTTACGCCTAAAGCTAGAATTAACGGTCTGACACTTAAAACGGCTTAGCTTGAGACTATTAATCAATTACAAACAAGAATCCATTTAATTCAGTGCAACCTAAGTGAGGGTTAACTGGGATAGACACCACCAGGTCACCAGCATATTTAATAAAACTAGTTTCAACAGAATAAGGTAGATCATGCAAAAAGAACGCGAACAGAATCGGGGAAAGTACTGCACCTTGAGGCACACCAGCTTCAGTAGGTAATGGAGTCGAGCGCCTACCTTCATAGACAGTATACTGTTTCCTTTCAGAAAAATAAGAATACAGCCCCTTTGTGACCCATGGCTCAGTATGAGCTATGGCAAGCTTATTTAAGAAGAGTGGTTTAGGAACAGAGTCAAAGGCTGATGAGTTATCCAAAAAAGCACAACGAACATACTTAGCACCCATGTCTAAACTAGAAACAATATTATGATGCAAGAAAGTGATAGCATCTTGAGTACTTCTCCGTTTGTAAGCAAATTGTTTTGAACCTCTGAAAACCCCCAATGAAGGCTCAGGCACAAGAAGTAATTTCTCCGTTTTGTTCAAAAGAGTGAGACACAGGAATGGGTCATGATTCTATATGAAGCGAAATTATGGTTTTTAACATGAATGTAACCTCGTCACAACATATGCACTTTACTGATCTATCAAATGTAAACGTCCACTCGGATAAATATTAATCATTTAGTTTTCTCTATCCTTCATAGGTCGCTCGTCCTGTACGATGGGAGCAAACTTTGTATGCACTGTACAACCGTCCATTAGATGTTCCTTTCCCGTGTACTATTGAGCCTGGTCCAGGTAGGCAACTTGGTGCTATGTTGAGAATGGTCAGTCGCAAAGCGTTCGTCAGTTATAGTCCCGTAGATGTATAGTAACCTTATTCTTGTGAATTCCAAACTCGTAACATGTAATCCGCCTCTTCAATATGTACATATGCTCACTAGTTTATACAGACAAGTAGAATGTAATGAAATAAGTCAAAATCAAGATGAACGTCACGTCTTTTCTCTTGTGTGAAAAAATAAGAAGTTATTGTAGAAGTGTATAATCGTGGAGATTTAGTCATGATCATTTTTCTATTCACCCTTGTATGTGACAATATTCTTTTCAGTTTCCCATAATTTAATCTTGTATAGTAGTTTGTTGGGTATAGCGTTGGCTAACTGAGACCATATAAAAACAGCCAAATTTTCTGTAGTTGATACGATATGATTCTTTTTAAAGTATTCGACGTCTTCATCAATATTTTTATGATCCAAGAAGTTGAGCACATTCTTCTGTATGATTGACTTCAAGTCACCAAGATTCATAACCATACCCGTATTCCGATCGATAGGTCCTCTGATAGTGATTTCTAGTTTGTAGTTATGACCATGTCCCATAGGATTGTTACATTTTTGAAAAATTTCAACGTTTTCCTCATTGCTGAGATGGTACGAATGAAGACGATGACATGCTGAAAATGACTCCACTCTCGTTAGATAGCATAGTGCACTCATTTAAAGAATAACAGTGGCTATATCACTGTAAAAAAAAAGATAATAGTCAAATCAGATCTGTTTGAGTGATTTCGATCACTCAAACATGTATATTGAAATAACTGTGTTATGAATGTAGAAATTCTCTACGTGTTACTAGCAATCATTTGTGATAAACAATTTCGTTTATCGAAAAGACTTCAAATAATGAATAACTCAACTATATAGGCAATTAAAACTTGCAGCTACTGTCAAACTTACGAAGTGTACCTCTTCCTGCACAGTTTGCGATAGATAGTCTTTGTTGTAAGATGCAACATAATTACAAAAGTATTTATTGTTGCATTTCTTTAACAACCGGTTTTATCGTCAATAATGTAGTTCCCTCCAGTATTACCGAGATCGGTGTTCATAATTTGGATTGCAACTCCCATAAGTTGCGCGAAAGTAACACATGTGAAGTCCCAACCTGTGAGGTAAATCGGAACGAGGTGTCGTGAATCGGTATGACATACCATAGTCCGAACTGTCTTGCTGGTCGCTTACTGCAATAGGTTCCTAACTATTGATTACCCAGATGCACTTCGTGATAATCGGCAGGATCTAACATGTTTAAGTAACAGTTTCCGTATTAGTCTGCTGCAGGGTGTCTTTAGGTGTGCCGTCCTAAACGATAAATTGGACATTTTGTGCTTTAGTCAATATTAGTATAGAAATTGGGATCACTTCTTAAAAAAACAAGTGACTATAGCTCAAGTGAAGATACAACGCAGCGAGATGGAAAAATAAAGAAGACAGTGATCATTAGAAGAGAGACCTGGACAATAATGAAATATGATATGAAGACGAAAGTGGCGTGTTTGCATCTGCGCTACTGTGATTGATTTTGAGCCATATTATTTACAGTATCCAATCACCGATTTTGTTTGGCATGCGCACCCGTTTCATCCGCAAGATTCAAGCCAACAGTTGTAGACTTCTTGAAGTGATATCATGTTTGGTCGCCTTTTCCCAACCAAAACTATTCCAGCTAACATCGCACATTAGGATAGACGGTGGCTACGCATATGTAATACATGTCTTAGCCAACTGAGTCGATGAAGGTTTGCGATTTCATCAGCCAACTTACTTCTTTCTCCAAAGACCACGTTATCAACTTGGTGATGTTGTAACACATGGTCAATGTTACGAGAGTAACAGAAGTCGAACTAGGACCTTTAAAGGTTGTTTCACATGTAGTAGGTCACAGCGAACTTCTGGGCAGCCTGTTTAACACTTACCCAGCAATCGGATGTTTCACTAGTGCTATTTATGGTGTAAGTTAGCAAACATCAGTCCAGCCCTTTGTATTCGAACAGCAGCTCTTTTTGTTCGGTCAAGTCTCCACACATCGGTATTATGATGTTCGGTCTTCGACATTTACGTTCATTGATAAATATTTGGCAAGTTGTGATCACGTTTAGGTCTAGGTCGTCCGGTCGATAGCTCCTACTCTAACGTGGCGGTTGGTCTGCATACTGCAGTGACCCATTGGATACGTTGGACTGGACAACTATCCCTTGGGTTTTTCCATGGTATAAAGACTGTTTGCGTGATAAAAAGCAGCTATCGTCATAGTGTAACATTTCGGTAGGTGAAATTTTACTGATAGCTTTACGGAATAAGTCTATAGTTAGGTGTTTCCTGTGGATGATTAGCTGTCTAGACAGAAGCCACCTACCCTTACCAAGAGGGCTGCATACAAAACTTAACAATAACAACCTACACTTATTTCTTTCCACTAGGCCATCACCATCCGTTCTTGTTACCAACCGTACACCCCTTACATTTCCCCCCGACTATCGTTACCTATTCAACCTAATCGAACACCATTCGTAGTCTCTTAAAGCTACGCTGCTAATTTCACGTCCGAACCCTGTGCCTAATTGGGGAACGGGGTTCACTTCGCGAAGCTTGGCAATCTTGGCCGATGATTCTATAGTGTTTTCCTGAGACATGCGCACATGATCCAGGTACCGTTACTGACTTGACCTCACCTGGCCAAGTAGGTTCTAGAGCCAAGAACATACTTCTCGACTGCATACCAGCCTATAGGAGTATGTATACTTCTCGGTTTATTGAAGCTGTACGTAATAGAAAGAATCGCAACACTTGTCAATGCCTGTTCGCAATAACTGCGAGCAGTGACGGGTAACGAAAGGTATGGCGAAGGCAGCAAGATTAGGTAATACTTAGGATTTTTTAGTTTATTGAAGGAACAGTCGCAAAGAAAACTATAGTCATTGAGATTGTTTCCAAGAAGGATTGATGCCTATGGGAGATGACATGCAAGTCTTAGCAACACGTCAAAGCATAACCCAAAGCCTTCTTTATCTCATCAGGTACATCTAGGAAAATAATGATGGCTGATGGAAAAAATACCTGTTGCTCCTCGCACCTTCAGTGAAGTGAATTCTCAACTATCAGCCGGGTGAGCATGGTTTTTGATTCTTGTTTTCTGCATAAAGCAATGATGATTCTAGTACCAAGCGCATAAAAATCCCTACAAAGCAAACAAATTAGTTCAATTTCGATTCCTTTACCCATAAAATTAAATTACCAACCAAGTAGGTGCTGCGAAGCTCGTTCACAAAGAATATTCGTCATCCATGCTTGAATTAGGGATACATTTGCACAACTTACTGGACTGACTGACGAAATCAATTCGAGACCTCGAAAACATGTGCATCGGCTCAAATTGCCAAACTTCACAGTAGTATACAAAGAAAAGATGGATATAAAAAGTGATATCAAAGCGGAAAATGTGTGAGAGAATGAACAGTCTGAAGATAAAGGTTAGTGCAAATATACAACCACAAATTCCTATCGTCTCGGAGTCCCGAGCTAGGCAGTCTACGTTTCCCCACATGACTCAGGCCATCAGTAAAAGACTTCGTCGACTGGTGCAACGTTTTGGTCTGGCCACCCAGAACCCTCTATCAACCTAATCCACCTTCCGCTAGTATGGCACATGAAGGTAAGCAGTGGCTCAGCATGCACAGTGAATGCCTAAGCCATCTAAGTTCACAATTTCACCAATCGACTTGAATGTTTTGCCTAGTACCCTTCGTTTGACCTCAGCATAGCTCACACAGTGATTCCACTAAATGCGAGCAGTCCTACGAGGACATCCGTGACCAAAACCCAGTATTCGCTTCATGTCTCCTACTTTCAACTGCCGTATCTCACAGCCGCACAACAGGATAGAACAGAATCCAGCGCAGTATAGCCGTCCTATGATAGATAGTCGGATATCTCACCAGTTGACAACACAGGTGAGGTAAGTTGGCAAATGCCAAACGGGCCTTCTGTATTCAAGCTGAGATTTCATCAGAAACCAGGCCGTTCGAGTTGATAGATCTCCGCAAGTAAGTAAAGTGGTCGACATATTCCACCACTTCACTTCCCATCATTAAACTGGAAGTACTTGCAGCAGACCAGTTCTGGAGAATCATCTTACACTCGAGAGGGTAGGAAGCGCGTGCCAAGCATACTCAGATCTCTGCTCAACGCATCCAGAAGACCTTGCATTTTGCTGGCGTCTTCACCCAACAGGACATCATCTGCATACTCCAAGTCAACCAAATGACCTCCACGGAGTAGGTAAATCCCTGTGAAGTTAGACGTACCTAAGGTTATGTCCATTAGTACTTCAATGACGCAGTTAAATAGGGACGGTGACGGCGGACATCCTTGGTAGACGCCACTAGTTGTCATCAATTCACATGACAACTTTCTGCAAGACCTTACATGGGTGCATGTGTTCGAGTAGAAAGCTTTGACAGACGTTATACACTTGCCAGCTACTCCTTTCACAATCAGACACTGGCACAACACCTCACGGTCGACATAGTTAATACCGCCTGAAGTTCAACAAATATGGCAAGTGTCAGCCCCCAATTGGACTGCAGCCAGGTCTTTAGTAGTGTCTACGGATAACTGTTAAGTATTCTGAATGAAATAACCGTTTGGTCCCAGTTCCTTGGCGACAGCCAGTACCTCCATGTCGAGAACATTTCTCTTGACACTCAAGTAATTCTAGTTATGTAGGTCTTCCCTGATGTCTAAACAAAACAATGGTAAATTGTAGGTACTAAAAGCTTAACTTAATTGATATCAATTAGCAGTTTTCCTGATACCATCAGCGGCAGCATTACTGCTACAGAAAATACAGATATTGCAGATTCCTTGAATAGCCTCATGGAATAAATAAAAACTGAAGCAGGAAGCGAAAACAATATTGACTAGAACAGTGGTCGAAAGGGGATGTGAACAAAGCCACCTACTGGTATACAGTACAGCACACGAAACCAGAAACGAATTTAAAGGATACGGATTTCACACGAAAACTCGCTGGTTGTGTGACTTTTCGCATTTCCCCATTAGTACTCCAGAATTTACAAAGGGGTTCATCGAGGAGTCGGGTCATTTTGAAACACTATGCAAACTACGTTTGATTACAACGTAACTCAGTTGGTCTGAGTAAAAACAAAAGGTAAGCAGGGTATTTTAGTTTATGCCAGAAATCAAAAGTAAGTCCACTCTTCAGTAACCGAATGTCATCTCAAAAGCAGGAATCAATAATTTCCGGACTTAGCAATATCACCTTAAGTGGTTTTTAGAAAAACTATTGTGACGATATGAAGTCATGGTTATACGACTGAGGGGACTACTATAGCGGTCAACAGAGAGGGGAATAGCCGTAGGTCATTTTCTGTCTATCAAAACTTTCTATGTCTATCTGACTGATGTTCCAACCAATACGCCGCACCATTAAGACGTCTACCTACGCCATGGTAGAAAAAATACCGTGCGAAACTATAGAACAGGGACGAGGTGTGATGGAAATATTTACAGGAAAATTT